GGAGAGGGAGAGGGAGAAGGGGGGTTATTTTTATACCAGTCATCACCTGTCAGACCCAGAAACCTAAATCTGGGATGTGCATCTATCTTCAGGATATAATATTTGCATTACTCATAGAAATTTCCAAATGAAAATACCCATTTGTTTATATACAGCTTCCCAGTGAAGATTTATTTTTTACTAGGTCTATTCTAGTGCTGTCCATTCTAGTTTTAAATATCTACCACTTCCTTGGCAACTGTATCATACTGTTATAAATTTCACCTACACATTTTTCATCCAAGTGCTAGTCAGCTGCACACCTTTCAAAAATACATTCATTCCTTTCTTTTAATTCTTTTTTTTTTAATTCTGGGATTGTAATGCGACAGGCTATTATATATCCCTAGTTTTATTACTACCTGATTTAGAGAACTGGCTTACATAGCATCAGTCTCTGGAATCCTTCCCCAGGGAAGATATCCTGTTTTTACATATATGTGGGGAATTTAGCAATGAAGAAATAAATTAGTACAATGCTGATTTGTAATGACTAAATTCCTAACCCATTCCTTCAAGTAACTTCAGAAGGCAAGGACTTTTGTTTTGCTTTAAAGTCCTCTATAGGTACTACTCATAAGAGACAAACAACTTTACAGAATCCTGCAAGATGATTTTTCTGATAATAGTAAGTAAACCTTGAAAAGTTTCCTGGATCTAGGCCATGCTTTATGATTAATCTTTATCAGGCTAATTCATTTATTCAAAATGTTCTTCAGGAAAGCTTTTTTTTTTTTTTGGTAAAACTTGATCTCCGTCTGAAGAATTGCTATATTTTCAAACCACTTAAATTTGCACAATACACTGTGCATTTGGATTTAATTTGGAGTTTTCTCCTTTAAATTTCCCCTATCTGCTTGACAATCAAGGCTACAAATGGATCACATGCACAACATCAGGAACTTATTTACTATACCGGTAGCAAAAGACGTTCCCAACAGTAACAAAAGTTCAATTTAATTAAAATGTGGCTATTGACAAGATTAGGGTAAACCAAGGATTTATCCTTTGGTTCTGGTTACACTTAAAAAACATTAGAAAAAATTAGGATACCAGTGCCAATGGTAATAATTTGGGCCAGATTGTTTTCAGTCAGTTCAGAGTAAATCCAATAAATCAATGAATTTACTCCAGACTAATTAATATCCCAGTCTGAACCATTCTCATTAGACTCTATAGACCGAAACTTTATGTCTTTATTCAGGCAAGTTTCCATGGAAACTTGAGAGTCTTCCTAAGAAAGACTTGAGGAAAAATGACAGAACATGTAATAAGTATTTCTAACTATATCATCATACCAATTATGGAACAAGCCTGCTTCCTTTAAAATTAAATGCAAGACTCCCAATTAATTTAGCAAGGGCAAGAATGGGTTATCTAAGGAGGTGGTAGAATATCCATCCCTAGAGGTTTTTAAGCCCTGGGCAGGATGATTTAGATGGGCTTTTAGCAGAGAATTGGACTTGATGACCTACTGAGATCTCTTCCAATTCTATGATTCTATAGTTCTAGGAGTCCGCTTAATCCACTACAATGGGCAATTTCATCATCGAAAGGGGATAAAAGCTGATAACACTGGAAGTAGTGGCCAAAAAAATTAATCGGAAACTAAAAGGTGAACAAATGAGATTGAAAAGGGATTTATACATTAATTATTTGTTTTTGAGAGTATATTTCAACATATCAAAGACATAGGTTTAAGAATCCAAATAAAATGCTCTTTATATGTTGTTCCAGGAATTACATGTTTTTCTCCTACCTTTTTTGGTACAGAGAAGGGAAACTTTGCTTCTGCTTTCACACAACCGCCTAAGTGTTGAAACAACAACAGGAAAAACATATTATAGACAATCTGCACATCTCATTACATCTCCCCAATATAAGAACAATTGGATCATTTGTTTAAACACAGCAAGATCAATCAACATGATACAATGAAAAACAGAGCATTACAATGGGGTACCAGCAATTTCACTGGATTCCAGTTTGTTTCTGAAGGTAGTTAAAGGTGTTTTAAATTTATATACACTCTTTATTAATAGAGTGCTGCATATCTTAGAGATTACCTCTTTCTTTATGCATTGACCTAACATCTGAGATGCACTATCTGATTATCAGAAATTCAGACATACAGAGATTTATTTGCCGCTGGATGTTTTCTTGGTTCTTCTAGGTAAGTGAAAGCCTTTTGCTGACACTTAGATAGAAAATGGCTTTTAGATTAATCAGAATATTTTTGCCAAAAGAATTTTGGGCTTTTGATGAAAACTCAGAAAGATTCCAAGGGAAACATTTATGCAACTGAAGAGTTCACATTTTTGTTGGAAGTTTTTGGAAGGGAGACGATCATTTCCCTACCAACCGTATTGATTCTGCAGTTCATTTGCTTCCTTATTTTACAGTCCAAGACCCACTGACTTCAGTAGGATTACTCACACTATAGAAACTTCAAAACCAGGCTGGAATGTGAAACTGCTGAGCTGGAATTCATATGCAAATTTGCCACCATCTGAATGGGTCCGAATAGAGATTGGGAATGGCTCACTCATTACCATAAATAATTTTCCATTTTAGGTATTCTCATCTTATCCTCATCCACCCTGATTGAATTAGCTCTGATGTAATAATCTCATCTCCTATCTGTTTCTTTTTCTTTCCCTTCATGCATGAAGTGAGCTGCAACTCATGAAAGCTTATTATACAATTGTTAATCTTTAAGATGCCACCAGAATCCTTGTTGGTTTTGCTGAAACAGACTAACACAGCTACCTCAAACCTGTCAATATTTATTTACTATTCCTATAGATTTGCCAAGAATGGAAGGCTAAATCATTGTTATTCATGTTTTAAGATATTTTTCTGTGTGTCTTGAGACCGATGAGCACAAACTACTAGTGCAAATTTGTGTATATATCTCTATCTATCTCTATGGCTTTCCTAGATTTTAGTGACAATACTTCTTAAATTCTGGACAAGTTCTCAACTAAAACCATATTAAAACCTAAATTAATTTTGTGTTTTTCTTCTATATGAACTCATATAATTTTTAGGCCAGCACTGATTACAGGAATGTGAAAATATATGGAAATTAAAGAAAAATCAAATGCGGGTCAAGTTTGAAGAAAAAGCCTTGTACTGAAATAGAAATTTAAATGTATCCAGTGTTTTAAAATGGAGGCAGTATTAGACACTTTTATAACATTATGCTATATTATTAGATATATAAAAAAAGGAATGATGTATACTAATATATTTATAACGTGTTTTATTCAGAAACAAACTTTTACAAAGTATTTTACAAACTTACTGTCACTTGCTAGTTTGAACCAGAAGATTTGGTGGATTCTTTGTTATGCCAAATTCTTAGCTGACTCATAACTCTGATGAAATGAAAGGGATAGACTGGAGTGTGTATTGTGTAAGAATTGGTATAAAAATCTATCCCGCTTTAGTCTTAACACAAAATTCTATTCTCACAGACATTTGACCAGTCTCAGTATTGTAACTGTTCTCCTTAAATGTGTGGAACACCTAGGGAAATTCCTAAAGCAGTTGTATATATGTAAGAAGTGCAGAATATCTGACACGTGTCATACTCTTGAAGATTTTTCTTCTCTAAATGTTTTGTCTCTTGCCCAAGTAGCAAAATATAGCTGAATGTGATGCAAAGCTTGTACTCTGCTTTCATCCTTTTAAAAACATCTTTTTCCAGAAATACTGAAGCATTTATTAGTCTTGCCAAAGTTCTTGTCAGTCTAAAACTGGTATCTAGATTTCACAATTGCTTTTCTGTAAAAGCTATTAAAATTAAGCTTGCAAGAGCTCTACAAGGGAGAATGGAATTATCCAGTAAATAATACGTTTCTCTTTTTGGGTGTGTCAGAGCTATTTTTCTTAACCATTCCTGATGCTTGACTAACCAGAAAGAGATACGCAGAGGAAAAAATAAGCACATATATTCAGTTTGGTATCCTAGTTGGTCCCTGTGAGTGTGTATAGTTTTTATCCTACTCCAGGAACTTTGATGGGGAGAGGGGAGGTAAAGGAGGTAACTGCCTCAAGTCCCAGTGATTCAAGCCCTGGACCCTTTAAATCGCCACAAAAGCCCACACGGTGCACTTGTGGCAGCTCTGAACTTTCTTCCCCAGCCAGGTAAGCTTGGGAACCAAAGTGATTACAAGGAGAAGTCTGATAGAAAAAATGTAGCCAGCAGCACCAGCAAAACGCAGCGACAGGACTTGCGGGCTCCGATGATGCTTGTGTTATCCCAAAGTTTTTCACATTAGCCACCACCAATCTAACCAGTCCATTAATGAATCCACCAGGATGTCTGAAACAGAAGATGCTGCTGATAAAACGTTCTGCAGGGGAACTAACTTCTGGTGTTTAGAAACTACAGTCTCTGCAAAGTTCAGAGTACAATAGCACTAGCAAGGAAGGTGGAGGTGGTGTTGATGTTTTGCCCTCTTGTCTCATGGATTTTTCATCTTCGCCAACAGAGACATGCTTGAGCTGTTGTAAGAGACTGGAAGAATCTCTTCATCATTTGTCTGATCTCTTGTACTTGCTCTACTTGCGTGCCTTGTAAAGCTGGTCTATTGAGTCTGCAATCTTCTTCTCTGAGAGGCAAGCCTCCACTGTTGGAGGGCTTGTAGGAGCACTGACCTGAGTCAGCAGGGTAGAAAGGAAGCTGCTGTGTATCTGGGGTTCACTCCTAGCAGTGGCGCCTTCTCCTTTTCCTCAGCAGCAGCATTGGCTTAGCCCACATAGGATATTTGCACAGAACAGAAAAGGTACAAACAGGAGCAAATACAATGTGCAACCTGGTCTTAGGATGGCAATAGCTGGGCTTGTTGGTCCTGCTGTGAGCTGTCTGAAGGAGCTCAGGGAAGAGATACAGACAGGGCACAGAAAGAAACTGCAGCTCACCAAGAAAGAAAGATGTGTGTAAATGGGGAGATAGCATTAGGGGGAGAGAGAAAGAGAGTAGTAAATCAGATAGCATCCAAATACAAAATAAAGTTTGCAAACTAAGGACACAGACCTGCAAAGATTTTTGTAAATGCAGTGGCATAATCTTATTTAAGTGCTTGCATAAGATTTTACAAGACTAGGATATAAAGGACAAGATTCAGAAAGTTGCTAAGTTTATCCTGTGAGGTGCTGAGCAGTTGCAACTCCGAAGATACTATCTTAAATTTGGGAAGCCGCCCATTTTTATAAGAAGCCTTGTTTTTATATTTCTTTTCCCCCCACTAATAGCTCTACCAGTCCAAGTGAGCACTCTCTTAAAAGCAGCAAATAAGTGAACTCTAAAACCAATGTCACAGATTTCTCCCTGAAAACTGGATATGTGACCTTATTAATTTCTTTAAACTTAATAGTTCAAATAGATAGGAATTCTGGGATTAAAGCTTTATTATAAATAGTTATATTGTACAAAATTATGCTGAACCAGAAAATTAAATTCAGCAAAGAGGACCCAAAATGAGAGTGAAGTTGTAAAATACATTAGCTGTGTTATGGAATTTACATTACATAATACATACATATGTTTATGCGAGTGCAAACACAGATACCTTTGTACACTTGGAACATAAAACTCATTAATGGAAGTACCATCTTTCACCGCTATATTTCCATCTACTGCTCTAACACACATGTGAAGCACAACATTAGTTATCACTTACCCTTTCTGTAGAAGGGCAGGCAACGTGGATGCATTTTTATTCTTCCAGTCAGAGTGCAGATTCAGCCACTTCTGATGGTGTAGTAGTTCATTTTCTTGCACAATTTCTGTTGCAGATGGCCCCCTGAAATGAATAAAAAAGTTCATACATCTTTAAATACCTTTGATTCTGACTCTCCAGACATTATAGTTATAGGAGGGAAAGGTGCTTTAACACCTTCCCTGTATTCCAAAGTCAGGCAAATGAATAATATTCCATATCCAGTTTTGGCCAAAGTCAGACCTGCTCACATTTTTTTATTATTAATGAGAAATGTTCTAACAAGTGAGAGTAGGAAATGGAAATGGAAAAAGTTCTCTGATGGCAAAAAATGTAAGCACATATTTCACATCTGTTTTATTCTTTCATACAAAGACTTGGTCATAATACTCAATCTCTTTGAAGTTTTTTCTTCCCATAAATTTCCTTTGTAAACCATTTTCATTTACCCACTATGTGTCTGTTTAGCTCGTATTGCTTCCATAAGATATCATCAAGAATGATGATAACAGTATTGTTTCATTTTATTCATATTGATCAACATAACTACCCAGACAGAGGAAAATTTCAGAACGTTTCAAAATAGAGTCTCTTAAATGAAAGTACCATATAATCAGATTTGGCAGATTGGTAAAATCAATTTCACTCCTTTTTTTCCTGATGAGACTTTCATCTCTCAGATTTTGTTTTGTTTTGCTATTGGTTTTTTTTTTTAAACCTCTCTATTATAAGGTCACCCATACACCAAACTGAGCTGTCAAGCAAAACAATTGTACATGTTTCTTCTGAACTAATCTGCACAAGAAGCCATTAAAAAAAACAAAATTAAAAAAACCCATTTGTGTATCAGTCAAGCAATTAAATTTAAGGGAATAACAGATCAACCTGCTTCAAAATACAAATGCTTTTCAATAAAGAAATTAGCAGATTCTCAAACATAACAGCAGGAAGATTCTTCACGGACTTGGATTTCAAAAGATTGTGCATTAATATGAAAGCTGGGTAAATGTAGCAATCTTTTGCTAAATTTCATCATTGCATATGTGGAGATTTTGCACTTGAAATATTACTCTTCTGCAATACTCTTAGCAAAATTGGCTATTTTAAATCTTAAAACCCTGCAAAAACACACATTTCAGAATATTTGCTTTTGTACTGTGAATTTGGAATGGGTTCCAGATGTAGCTCTACAACATAAGTTAACTAACAAAATACCAGATCCTAAAGTCCAGCCAAATTGTGCAGGGCACAACTCAGGTGCACTAAAGTTCACCTTTATGCTCTCCTTATCTTGAGCTCCGTATACGCTGAAGTGGTTCTGAAGCATAAGTAGAGCAGATACTCTAGACTTTAGAGTTATATACACTAGGGCTACGTCTACACTGGCCCCAAATTCCGGAAAAGGCATGCAAAGCAGGTAAGTCAGAATAGGGAAATCCGCGGGGGATTTAAATATCCCCCGCGGAATTAAATAAACATGTCCGACACTTTTTTCCCGGCTTGGGGAAAAGCCGGAAAAAAGCGTCTAGACTGGCGCGATCCTCCGGCATAAAGCCCTTTTCTGGAGGATCTCTTATTCCTACCTGAAAGTAGGAATAATTCCCCAAGCCGGAAAAAAAGCGGCGGACATGTTTATTTAAATCCACGGGGGATATTTAAATCCCCCGCGGATTTCCCTATTCTGACTTACCTGCTTTGCATGCCTTTTCCGGAATTTGGGGCCAGTGTAGATATAGCCTAGCTGTGATCAGATCCAGAAGGCTGGAAAAAAGGCAGGAACTGGCAGGGCTTAGGGAAACCTTAGCAGGGGTCATGTGACCCCTCTCTAAGGACTTTTCCTACCAATAGGGATTAGTTTGGCCCCCACCAAGCCCCCCCTCATGCAAATATCCTGCAATTGCATTAACCCAATATATGTCACATTAACTCAAGGGCGGAGGGGCAGAGAGGTTGGGGGAAGTGTTCCCTCTAAGAGTTTCCCCCATGAGCAGAATGAATTTTGTGTTGTGCACCAGTACTGAGTTCATGTGGCTAAGTTGGATGTGCCACTGTGATACCCAAGTTATTAATAAATATCTTATAAACCTCTATCCTTTCCCTCTGCTACCATGTCTCTTTCCCTTGCTCCATCAGCTCCCTTGGTGCCTGCTGCCCCCCAACCCTTCACCCTTCTCTGCCGTCCTGACTCGGACTCCTGCCCTTCTCACTGCCCTCAACCCTCCTGACACCTGACCCCGAGCCCTTCTCTCCTCCCTGTGCCCACTCCTCCAGTAGCCCCACTCTGATCACGTGAGCTACCCCTCCTCATCCCCTTTCCTAACACCTCCCTCTACACACCCGCCCTGCCTCTCTCCTCTGGTGCTGGTCCCTCCCCTGCAGGTGTCTGCCCTTCTGCTTCACCCTCAGAATCCCCTGGCACCTGTACCTTCCCTTACCCTTGCACCCTCCTGGTGCCCCCCTTCCCTCACTGCCCCTGTCCCCCTTTTCCCTGATGCCCACCCCCTCACCACAAGCCCCTTCCTCTTCCACCTCTTTCCCCTATTTTTCTCCCTTCCCCTCCCCCACCTTCTGCCTTCCAGTTTGCGGGGCTGAAGTCTGTGATCGGGCCCCAGAAGTCCGGATCCTGCACGAGTCTCTGATTTACCCCTCACCCCACTGCCAACCCCACATCCCCTCTGCAGGAGTCTTAGTGCCGACTGGCTCATGGGACATGTCTGGAAATGTCCTGGGCTCCCCCATTTTCCTCTCCAGGCAGAAACAGTCTGGTGGGTGGAGGGACACGGGCATGCGAGGAAGCTCCCTAGGGGTCTGGGTGGGCCAGAGGGCTGGAGAAAGGCAGCGCTATGCTCTGCAGCCAGTGCCCAGCAGGGCTCTGTGGTCGCTGCCTCACTGCGAGGGGAACGAGACCGAGCTGCTTGTCCGTGCGACCCCCCGGAGCCAGGAGATTGAGTCTCTGTTCTAAGGGGCTGAGTTCAGAGAGGAGGAGGAATCCCTGCCTCCACCCCTCCCAGCCAGTGTCTGCCCCGCTTCTGCTGCAGACTGAGACCGGACCCCAGCTCCTGGACCCACCCCAGCCTGGTGCCCGGGGGCAACTGCCCCCCCGCCTAGGGGTCTGGGTGGGCCAGAGGGCTGGAGAAAGGCAGCGCTATGCTCTGCAGCCAGTGCCCAGCAGGGCTCTGTGGTCGCTGCCTCACTGCGAGGGGAACGAGACCGAGCTGCTTGTCCGTGCGACCCCCCGGAGCCAGGAGATTGAGTCTCTGTTCTAAGGGGCTGAGTTCAGAGAGGAGGAGGAATCCCTGCCTCCACCCCTCCCAGCCAGTGTCTGCCCCGCTTCTGCTGCAGACTGAGACCGGACCCCAGCTCCTGGACCCACCCCAGCCTGGTGCCCGGGGGCAACTGCCCCCCCGCCCCCCCT